AACTTTTATCAAAGTACTTTTATTACAAGATACTTATACTTTTACTCAAGTATCACTTTGAGGTACTTTATACAACACTGCAAAAATGAATCTGAATATGTCTGTCATGGACTGAAAATGTAAGTATTTACACTTAACCTGCAATTTGTTTTTGTTTTATCTCATTTTTATTTTTGATGCTATAGAGTTAAACCATAGTATTGTTTCAGATTCATCCATCTGAACCACAGTGCCACTTCCAGTTTAAGGGATGRTGATAGAAAACAAAATGAACAAAATGTATTATGAAGGGGATTGTTGGTGGGGAATTATAGGCTGTCATTTGGAGAAAAAAATATAAAAATAATAAAACTCCTGGAATGCAACATATTGAGCAGTTGTACCAACCTAGCTTTGCTCTAAGTTCAGTTGGGGCTTAACAGGCAGGTTAGAAGGGGAAATCTGAAAAGCTACTTTCCGTACAACCCCACTGACAAGAATGCATGATAAGGCCTCAAGTCAACAGGGGCAGGATTGAGGATCAGAGCCAATTATCACAAAGTTAAAGGAGTTACCGTGGCAATTTGTCTACATCGTCTCCATCAAATAAAGAGGTCCCTTCCCGATTTAATGTTAAACTGAGGCACCAATGCGACAAGAACACCCTTTTCTCTACACACTCTTACACAGGTTTTGTATTATGGATTTTATCCTGCAGTTTTCTTGACACCATTTTTCCCTGCAGCTGGTGGCCTTCTGTTGCAATCTTCGACTGCTGCAAAGTTGATCAGTCAAACAAAGCACAGAACGTGAGATGAAAAGCTTTTCATGCCTCCCTGAGACACACTGTGCACACAAACAATCTTCCCTTCCTTTTGAAATCTCGCAAAACTTGTTTAAACCAAGGAAATCCACGCAGAAGAATACACATATCCAGAAACCTTTGTTGTTACAAGGTTTTTCCTTCATGGCTGTGTCTAAATCCTGAGATCTTAAGCAACATCCAGTTAAGTCACCAAAAATATATTCCTTTGAATTCAGGTTTTGCTTTTACTACACAGTAACAAAAAACACCTTCTTTGTACACAGTGTATCCTAAATTTCTAGTCAGCTTTGTCATTACATGCCCAGTTACAAGTTGACAAGACAGACATTAATGAGGCCGGGACTTTGTACAATTTGGTGAAGAGGCAATTTGTATTTTCGGCCTCCAGCACAGTCTGGATACTCCCCATAATTGATGTATTGTTAGCCCATGACCAGAGAGATCTATATACTGGTGAGGGGGGAGGAGGCCAGTGAGACACAAGTCTAATCAATTGCAAGACTTCTGTTGACAACAGCATGCCATCATGCCATACTGCTCTGATAGATGTGCGGAGCCGCCATTGGACAGCAGGAGAGGGGAAGTTAAAAAAGGCAGATGGCGCGTGTGTCCGTGAGGGTGTTTTAACCGAAAGACAGTCTTTCTGCTCAGAATTTTAAAACCCCATGAGATACATTCTTTCCGTCTGTTCTCTGTAGCGGCTGTGATAAACCCGTCACTCCTTCCGTGAGGAATGGCAGGCGGGACGATCATTAGTCTTCGCAGTAAAGCCGCCAACTTCTCTCTCTGGGTTTTATCATCCACCATTCTGGACAGGTTTTTTGAAAGGTTTGGGTAATTGTCGCAGTTATTGGAAGGGATGGAGTGACCCCGCAGCCCTTCACTTATGATTTGGCTAGACTGATGTCTTCTAATGAGGTGATAAACAGTCCAGCTAAGAACAATCTACAGGGTATTAGATGGATCATGGTTTTATGATGAAACGTCTAGTTTCCAAATGCCAGAGAATTTCTACCATTAGTTTCAAATTTTGTTCTCCTGCCACTTCTACTTGTGTGTGTAGAAGTTTTCCTTAATATGCAGTGACTCAAACATTTTATTGGTAACAGTGAATGTTTTGCAGATGCCATTTTTCCTCTATTTGCTAGTGTGGCATGTGCAGACTTACGCTGAATATCATTAAAACTAAACCAGGCGCCGCAGGCTGAAACCCTGAGCAGACATGCGGGTCGGGTTTTAAGGGCAGGAATTTCAAGCCGAAATCACTTCAGCTTTAAGCAGTTCAAACAATGCTAATTGCATCAGGCTCTGACTATCAAAAGTGTGAGGATAATTAGAGTGAGGGGGCAAAGTGAACCCGGGGTGGTAAGTGTTAGTACATGACAATGCTCGAGAGCCAATGGGAGCAAGGAAAAGGTAACAGGCTGAAAGGAGGGCTAATTAGGAGAGAGCAGTGTAGAAAATACAAATGGTAGCTGCTCTCTAAGGGGCCCACCAGTGCTGAAAACAACGGCGATTATTGACAGTTCATGCCGAGCGCRGCTTGCTCTTCTTTAATGGAGCACATTTCCATGTTCTACTTAGATTGTACCTAATTGTTTTCTCAGAACTGCAGAGTTTAGATTTTTAGATTGAGTCATTTTAGTCCCACTGAAGGGATTTCTTTTTTTGTCTTTTTTTACATTTTATTTTCTCTCTTTACAAGACATCACATGCATCTTTTCTCACATTTTTAGAGTACGTTGCTCAAAATGGGCACGGATGTGAGTGGAAAAAGTTCATTTTTCCATAAGCTGAAGCTTTTTGGCTATGCTCCCATCTGCTGTGCTTTATCTATGGATTATTCTTTGTGTTGTGGACTCCACACTGTCCCTTCGATCGTCCGAAGCGTAAAATGGATTATATTGCACTCCACTTTGCTGGGATTCTGCCTTTTTCTATGTCTTTTTTTTTTTTTTTGGTAAAGCAAACAAAGAAAAGGAAATAAATTAGAGGGCTCGTATGACTGTAAAACAAACCATTCTTAGCCAAAATAGATTTGGTTTTGGAGGTGGATGCTCGCTGTTGGTGGAGAGTTTCCTGAAGTACTGTAGTCTTCGTGTTTGCTCAGGAATTTATTAGATTACCACTGATCTCCAATGAGTCAAAAATTTGACAGCCCTGACCACACGGAGATAACAAAATGAATTGTTTCGTCTTTCCCCATTCCTGGATTGTGTGTAATAGCCCGTCTGTTTTAAACTGTGGTAAACATTGGACTGCGATTGCCTATTTTAGGTCGTGCCAACAGATTTTTACAGCATGATGTACGGCCTTARTGTTCTGAAGCAGCAAGTTCTTAACCAAATAATGCTGTGATGTTTTCTCTTCTGTCTCTGTGTCAGGGTTCAGCCGTGCGGCCTTGCCATTCGGGCTGGTCAGGAGAGAGCTCTCGTGTGAAGGATATGCAATTGATCTCCGCTGCCCGGGGAGCGATGTCATTATGATCGAGACGGCCAACTACGGTCGCACTGATGACAAGATCTGTGACGCTGACCCATTCCAGATGGAGAATGTCAACTGCTACCTCCCCGATGCCTACAAGATTGTATCACAAAGGTAAAGGGCTGGGAATAGGAGGGATCTTATTTCACAAACATAACCAGGAGCGTGGAAAAGTGTGTCGCTCCATTAAAAAAATAAAAATTACAACTGCACACAGAGGAGCTGTTGAGGAGCCCATTTTATGCTCATTTAAACATTTGTAACTTTAATTTTAGCATATACAGCAAACGATTGACACACTGTAATGATTGTAACTTTTTTTGTCTGAATTAATGCATCGTAACTCAAAATTATCTGCTCATTCTGTTTTTTTTAGGCATACTAAACTAACAACTTGGCATTTAGTATAAAAACATGTTACAAAAGAATGTTATTAGATAACAGATGAAAAGCATGGACTGCAAATGGTGTGTATCAGACTGATTTAAGCTTTCTCTGTTTTAGGAAGAAAATCTTCCATTAGTGTTGGTTTATGTTTTATAAATCTGCAGCTGTTTTTTTTATACGCAAATTATGATAGTAGTGCATCGAAACATGTCGTAATGTGTACAGACAGTTGAATGTGCTCAAGCAAAATGCCATCATCTTACACCTTTCAAACGTTAGTTTTTCCAACATTTAATGAATTACGTTGGTGACATTTGAAGTCTAAAAAAAGCGGAGCYCAGATTAATGTTTGACAGGCAGGAAGTGACATCCATGCGGCAGAGCTCTTCACACCAGCTGCGTGTTGTTGCCTCTGTTTGAGTCATAATCGGCGTAGCTTAGAGAGCACGCCAGTCACATGAACACCCTGTTAATTCCCTATCTAGAACACACCGCTCGTTTTGTTTAAACACTCGTAAGTGCATTGAAGTGGCTTCGCCTCAGGTAGTGTGCAGTGCCCATCGTCGTGTCTTTTATCTCCCACCCCCCCCCTCGCAGGATGCCGCCTCCTCGTCAAAAGGCAGCGCAGCAACACTCGAGCTTGACCCCTACTTACCCCTGAAGGTGTGTGTATTTTTAAAGGGCATTGGATGAGCATTTCATAAATAAGAACTAGTTCACTTTCCAGTGTGTTGCCCTCCTCTTTAAGTTTGGCTTTTGAGCATAATCGCCCACCGTGTCAGACCTCTGGGATTTTCCCTTCTCTTCTGTGTTTACTCCCATGAGATCCAGCTCTACAGAAGGATTTAATGAATACATCAAGGCCCGCAGTCTTTCTAAATTTACACCACATTTCCAGCACAGTCATACAGTAACATGCTGCTGACAGTGTCCATGCCCTGCGCTTTGACTGCCAACTGCTACACACTTGTTGACAAGTCACCCTCACACTCGGCGCTGCTTCATTTAAAACTTCTCTTCATCGGAGATTCTCGGGAGGCAGTGACAAACAAAGTCTTGGGGGATAGTTTGCAGCACAAGCCCCCAATCAGGATTATTGTAATGATTTAAATCAGAGGAAACAGAGCTCCTGATCATAATTAAGGACGATGTGATAAATGTGGGCGCTAAAGAAGCCGAAGATCCTTTGGAGGACCCCAATCAGCGCTCCATTGGTGTGCATCAAACTAGAATAAGGGTTTTTAAACTCCTTCACAATGGCCTGTCAATACTGTCAAGATTAACAAAAGGCAACAGCCCCACAGATGGATAAACAAACATATTAAGCAGGACCGGGTAGATGGAAACAGTTGGAAGTCTGCTTCACAGAGTGGCAGTTTTGTTAACTTGGAAATTGCGACAGAAAACATTCATCAGCGGTGCGCTTTTTTCACGAAAGAACAACCCAGACAGGAATTCAAAAGGCTTGATTTTGTGCAATCGCTACATCAAATGTGTGTTGTCAAGAAAAATATATTTAGTTGTTGACAAAAAAAAGGTGGGACTGGAGTGGTGGAGTAGGCCTAAATTGATTAATATTCAATCGAACATCCACTAAAACAGGCACAGTGTGCCAACTGTGAGCATGACCCTTCTCTTTGCCTGCTTTTGTAACTTCATCTTTCAATCAGTGCAGACACAAAAACTAATCTTTTATTAAAAAAAACATGATTTGTATTTTTCTACCTTTTATTGCCACATTTAAATGGTCTCTGACACTTTAAAACTAACAGAATGAATGGTTGGTCTGGTCATAAACGCTTCACTGCAATCAGGTTGTGCAGAACAGATTGCATTCAGTGATTAGCTGCTGTTATAAACAGACTGTCAGCATCCTCAGCAACAACACCTCCTTCTTTAATACTAAAGCTTTATAAAATTACTGTAAAACAAAATGGCACATTGGATTCAGCCTTAAAGGAATTAACATATGTGGAAAAGGTATTTTGATCCTTCAAGATACTGTACACAAATCAATATTTTGTACCTACAAAAGATCAAATGATATATAATATGATAGGTTTTCTTTTTTAGCGGTTAACCCGCAGAGAATTATGACCCAACATTCTTTTGAATCTGCCTTTTTTCCCCTTTTTGTCCAGAAAACCAAATGTTTTGATTCAATCTCTCAGGTCACATCCAGTTAGCTCCACACAATGTGCTAAACAACAGCCCAATGGAGAACTGACAAATAAAAATGCTTTCCTTCAGAGTTGATAGAGACCAGAGGAAGAGCTGAAGTATGAGCAGAGAGCCGTTGAGTTTCCGAAAATGCTTGTGCGACATGAACAGTAAAATTTCATGATGGCAAATAACCAAAATGGAGCTGCGCGAAGGCGCAGTTGTTGGAGGTATTGCCTCACAGGTAGAAGATAGCTGATTCACGTCCCTGCTTTTCTCCGTGCACTTGTGGGTTTACTTTAGGCACTCTGCTAGTTTCCTCAAACCGAAAACAAGATGTTAGGATAACTGGTAACCCTAAATTGTCTCTAGGTTTGAGTGAGAGTGAATGGTTATTTGTCTCTATGTGGCCCTGTGATGGACTGTCCTGTCCAGATTGTACCCCACCTCTTAGTAAAGTAAAGTAAGCAAAGTAAAATTTTTATTTATATAACACCTTTCATAGAAATAGATTCACAAGGTGCTGTACAATCAGAGGCAAATCAAAATATACACAATCAGAACAGGATATTCAAAAGTTTGGAACAAAAAAGTATAAAAGCTGTACAAKCATCAAATTATCAAGACCGTGCAATCTGAAAAATAAAATTGCACTCTTGCACTTTGGCTGCTGGAGATGGTCACCAGCTGCCCCACGACCTGGACAGGAAAAAATAGGGTAAAGAAAATGAATGGATGGAAGTAACCAAAAAAAAAATTTTTTTGAAAAAGATTATGCTGTTTTAAGGAACACTATTATTGCTACTTATAACAAACTGGGGCTATTTTTTTTCATTGATTTAACTTGTTCATTATGCAGTAAAACTGATCATTTGCAATGWTAAGCAAGTAATGATTAAAAAAGAGAAACACTTACTTTTCAGATCATACCAATAAAGCAATATGACACTTTATCACTAGAGTTTCTCTGGGTGCATTTGAGGTGATTCAGTTGGTCTCGCCTGCTGTCAGTCAGGTCACATTTTGATGCAGTGACCCATTTTTCTTGCGGCAACTCTCTTGAGCATTCGCAATGCCGAAGCCACAAAAGTAAATCTGCTAAGTGCAGTCGGCATCGCACTGTGACTGAAGTTTAAACCACGGTTGATGACGCTGGGGCTTTTTCTTGAAGTCCATTATTTTGGCTTTGCATATTTTTCTATCGACATGTAATGTTTGATAATCCGTTCGTTTTAAAAGGAGGGTGTTGCTGAGCAAACACAGACTGCAAAGTGAAGTCATATGCTGGTTCATGTATTTACAGTCTTTTTTTAATAATCACTTTTGCGTCTTGCTTCAGTCACATAATTTTGTTGATTTTTTTTTTTTTTGGGGGGGGGGCAGTTTTTTGCAGTCTTGAATCTCTAATTGTCGAGTGTTCAAAGTAGATGCCCAACTTGCATCTCTGCTTCTGACCTTCTGTAGTGTTTATCTCAAGCTTGCACACTGTTGAACATTTCTTATTTTGGTGCCAGTTTTTTTTTTTTTGCCTTTCTTCTTTTTCTTCTTCTTCTTCTCGTTTGCTTCTCTTGCTGACATCATTCTCAATCCCTCTGCCTGAAGAGAGCTTGATTGAAGTGGAGCCAATTTCACCCTATACAGTATTTACGCAAACTTCGTCTTTTGCTGTTCTTTATATTTTTCTTTATTTATTTTTTGTCCCCTTCTGCTTCTTTACTTGAACTTTTTTTTAGCGCCACAGAAACATGTGCCAAGCCACACACACACACACACACACACACACACACACACAC